CTTCTTTGCTGGATCAACAGACGATTTAGTTGACTTTGTGCTAACATGAAACACTTATTGGTATGAGCGTTCTCTTCATCCCTCTAAATCATCACCAAAACAATAAATAGTCTTAATATATGGCATTCTCCAATTTCTACCGGGAACGTCCTCCTGCCACGTCGAGGTACTGTCAGTGGCACGTCCTGGAGGCGCAGGTGGGCAGGGGGCGGGGGTAGGAGCTGGGGAGGAACGTGCCCCCGCCTGATGTGGAGGAGGTGGGTGAACTCAAGAGCACCGATGACAGTGAAAGGACTGGTTTGGAGTATTTTAAACATTTTAGTTTTGAATTCGCACAGTAAAACTTGCTTTTTGGTGTCTAATTTTATGAATTTGGATAGAGTGGTGTAACCACCATCGCAATCCAGACACAACCATTTCAGCCACACCCAAACCCCCAAGTCTCCAATGGAGAGGAGGCATCTCCTACTCTTTAAGTCTGTCAAAACTCCTAATCCTGTAGTTCTGCCTTTCCAGAAAGAGAAACGAGCAACAGCATGCAGCTGGCCTCTTGGCCATGAGGCCCTTGGGACGCGCACGTCGCAGTGTGCAGCGAGAGCTCGCTCCTGCACCGCTCGGCAGTTTTCCAGAGTGAGGCTGTGCCAGTCTCTTCCCGCCCCCAGACCAAAGGCTCTAGTTGTGGCACATAAAACTGATCCAGGAGCACCTGTACGTTTCTGTGTGAACCCAGACTTCTGTTACTGTTGGGAAACACCTGAGAGAGAGGCTGATCTCCTGCAGGGTTAAGTTACATGTGGACTATCGGAATCTGGAGTTCTCTGCTGCTGTGACTCTCATTCCCAGCAACGCGAGAGAAGGCCCCTTGTTCTACCTTCTCACCAGTACGTGGTCTCCCCAGGTTTTCAGTTTACATTATTACATTTTTTAGTTACTTGAATAGGTGTCTCACGGTGCCTTTTGGTGGTTTTAGTTTACATTTCCTAACAACTCATGATATGGAGTATCTTTTCATATGCTTGTCTATCCTCTTTGTATTTTCAATCTTTTGCCTGCTTTTTAAATTAGGGGGTTTTTTTATTGATGAATTTTAAGGATTCTTTATATATTCTGGATACAAAGCCTTTGTCAGATATTGGATGCAGGTTGTTATCTTCCTAGCAATTTCACCTATACAGCAAATCTTCAATTTGGATAAAGTCCAACTCATCAATTATTTATAAATTGTGTCTAGTTTTGCATCTAGGAACTTTACATAGACTCAAGATCATAAATATTTTTATTCTATTTCTACAAGAAGGACTGTTTCTTTTAGCTTTATGGGTGACTTGAATTAAATTTTGTATAAGATGTCAGTTATAGGTCAAGGTTCATATTTTACAATGTGGCTCCCCACTGGCTGCAGCACTAATTACTGAAAAAACAATCCTTCCTCCACTGCAGTGTCTTTGCACCTTCGTCAAAAATCAATTAACTATTATTTGTGAGAGTATGTTTCTCAGCTCCCTATTGATCCATGGAGTCTTTGATCGTTAAGTCTGATGTTTGGTGTATGATTTTTGTTGGCCATACTTTTTAAGGAAATGGACCAACATTTCTTCTAAGTTGTCAAAAGAACAGCCCTTCACTTGTTTGTGGCCATTATTATCCTTTCAGTGTTCGAAGGGTCTATGGTAGTACCTCGTCTCTAATTCCTGACATTGGTCTCATTGGTGTTTTCTTTTAAAAAACCGCACTTTCTTTCCACTGGTTTCTCTAGTTTTTCTTTTTCCCTTTTTAAGTTTCTTGGGATTTAATTTGCCCTTTTTCATTTTTTAAAATAACTTTGCTTTCTTAAAGTTATTTAATTCTAACTTTAAGTAATCTAATTTTTAGTAATGGCTTCACAGACTTACTGACTCTCCATGTTCCTAGCCCCCGGGCTGCAGTGGCTCCCAGCTGGCTCTGCGCACACCACACCCAAGGGTCTCTCTTCGGATGACCCCACCCACCTCCAGCTCCCTATTCAACATCACCCCTTCGATGTCCAACTGCTGCTCAATAGAACCATGTCCGAAACAACACTTACCTCAAAGTTTCAATCTCTGCTTGAACAAGCAGGCCATTGCCCACATGCCACGTGGCTTCCACAGACTATGTGCCCATGTTCCAAGTATGGCTTCATCCTTGATTCTTCCTTTGCAATGTAGGAAGGAGGAAGCACCAGGCTCAGGCACCAATGTGCCCCAGAATCCATGCTGGGGTCCAGTTTCCACCCTTGCTCCTATGTCCTCTGATCTTACCATAGTAACAAGAGGGATCCTGTAAAATGTCAGTGGCATGGGGTCTGTCTTCTTCCAATGCTCCCATCACAATGGGAAAGTCACATTACTCCCGCATCAGCCAAGATGTGTCCTCCCCTGGCTGCTCACTCTTCCCACTGACTCCATCTTGCTGCCCCAACACGATTCCGTGTTCCCAGAGCTCCCACGTGTCTTACCATCTCACTTCCTGCTACACACACTCGGCTCAACAGCAGGACCTTCCCAACAATTTCCTATCATGCTTCGTTTTTCTTCATAGTGCTTAGCTTTCACTGTCCAGCATCGCATTATATACTTATTTGGGATGTCTGCTCCTCCCTGCTGCTAATCTATTTACCATTTCACAATCTAGAACAGTTGTGAACCAGATCAGATTTCTTTTGTGAATGAGTAAATGAATCAGTGAGCAGCAGCCCAGAACCGAACCCTTGCTTCTAGCTCCCTCAAGATGAAGACTTGCCCTTAAGGCTAACAAGGCACTGGAGAATATGATCCCCTAAACCCTAGTAGCCGTACCTTGGCCCCCACCACTTCCTTCAGCTAGACTGAACTTGGGAGTTTCCGCTCATGAACCCCACTCCCTCTCTTTCTGGGACTGTTTGTTCTTCAAGCATCCTTCAGGTGTCTGCTTGGCAAGCGCTGATAGGTCAGGGCCCCCCCTGTAGCATCACCCATCCTGCTCCCAGACTGAGCTGTAAGTTACAGGGCCTAAGACAGGCCAACTGCTCAGTAAAAACAGTGCGAGTGAACATGTCAAGTAATAAGACCAACCTGGAGGGTGGGTAGGAACCCAGATCAGGGAGTTAGAGCGGGCCCAGCCAAGGAGCAGGGGCCCAACAACCCACAGGCCTGCAGGGTGAGCTGGCCACAGTGCCCAGTCTAGGCCACCAAGCTCAGTCTGCCGATCCTGCAGCCCCACTAAGTGCCAGGGGTGGGAGAAGGATATCACACGCAGGTCCTGCAGGCATAAGTTCCATCACCCCAGGCTCTGTGGTTCTGGTCCTTCCTTACCACGCCCTTCCTAATATTGAGCCCAGGCTCCATTCCTTGCCTTGGATTCCCAGGATGACCCCCAAAAGGGCAGCCAAGAAGGGCTCCTTATACACCTGCAAACAATAACCAATGATGACTCAGGAGGTGGAACCAAGACCTGTAACCAGGCAGTGCTGCTTTTCTCCAGTGTCCAGTGTCGGAGGCCCAGGACAGGGGCTAAATCTCAGCACTATCAGTGCTATGGCCTGAGTTGGATCCTGCCAACTCCAAGCCCTCCTCCCTCCCAGCAGGAGCCAGGGCAACCGAGCCCCCACACCTCCCCTCCCCTGTCTCACCCACATGCAGAGTATGACGCCATGTTGAAGGTGACTGCTGACCTTGACTGAGGCCAGACGCCCCACACCTACCTTTTGCACTGTGCCCTGTGCTGCATCTCCGCTGGCCTTCGCCATTGCCTGTCAAGTTAGACACCCCCTTCTCCAAGACCCATACTCCAGATTTCCGCACATGGTCTGTCAACAAATCCCAGCTCTGCCACCCACAACCTGTGTGACCCCAGGCAGGTCATTTATCCTCTCTGAAGATATCCAACATTTCCTCATCTATCAAATGTTCTGCACGGCAAATGAGATGTTTTGAGGTGGTACCCAACACTTGGTGGGCTCGCTCCTGAACCCTGGGGTTTGCTACCCTGATCCAACAGGCTCCCGATCCCCTCAACCTCCAGGGAGGACTCTGCCAGCTGTCTACCGGCTTCCTGGCTGTAGCCTGAGATAGACAGGAGAGGGCCTAAAGCTGAGCAAAGGGAAGGAACTGCCCACTTGCTCCATGTCTCTCGGGGCCTCAGCCTCCCTTTATCTCAGGGGAGCTGAAATTTCTCCATGCAAGGGCAGGCTGAGGTGATTTCTCCGTGGGGGATGGGAGGGGCTCCAGAGCAGCGGGAGGGAGCCTCTGGTGCACTGGAAAGGCTGAAAAACAAGCGCACCAGAATCCAAATCAGGAAAGCCCAGAGCTGGGGTTGCCGTGGCAACTGCAGCAGGTTCCCAGCCTGGTGCTCAGCCTCTCCAGGGTGGGGGCCAGGACTTGTCAGGCTCGGCTGCTCCTGCCTCCAAGGCCTCTCCTGTCTTGGCCTGATTCACAGACACAGGGCCAGGGACACAGGGCGGCACCTCTGTCCAGTCAGGTGGGTCAGGCAGGCCTGACCTCCTGCTAGCAGCTTTAGCGAGGTAACACTGCCCCAGAAGTGACACTCAGGGCCTGAATAGTACAGCAGACTTCACAGAGTCCTTCGACCCAGGTGGCAACCAGGGCCAGCAGTTGCCTGCACGTGGGGTCGCCCTCAGACTCCCACCTGTGCCAATGGCATCCAAGTTACGGCTTGGGCTCAGCACAGGGAGGGCAGTGAGCTGATCCCAGACCTCCCCTCAGGGCCAGCGGGAGCAGAGACAGGCGTGGGTCCAGGCACAGCAGGCCCAGGCACTGGTGCAGAGGTAGCCCCCTTTCACGATTACTATGTGTGAAAGTGCAGCGCCCCGGGCAGGGTTTCCTGAATCCAGCCCCTGTTACATGCCTGTCCTGGCTTCCAGCATGTTACCAGGGGCTGTCAGGGGCCTTTCACCCAACAACCCACCCAAGTAGCTTGCAAGGGGAAATGGGGGGGGGGGGCCCAGACATAGGGCTGTGCCCAGATACACAGTAAACAACGGCCTTTGTGTTTCCATTTAATGCCAAGCCAGCACTGCCCAGGTGAGCCCATGCCCCACTAGGGAAGTCCTCCTTTCTCTTGGTGTCTGCTAAACCCAGCCAAACAGGCACCCCCCAGCCTCACTAGCCGCACCCCAGTCCAGGCTGGGTGCTGGGGAAGAACCTCATCTCAGCTCTCTCATCAAGCTGTTGATGGAGCTCAGCAGTTCCCGGAAGTAGCCCTCGTCCTCGCCATCTTGGAGCTCCAGGGCAGCCAGCGCCTGGTACTCAGCCTGCAGGCTGGCCAGCGTCCTGCTCAGCTGGGGGTCCTGCTGGTAGCGGTCGCGACAGGTGGCCAGAAGGGCGCCCAGCGTCTGCAGCACCTTTTCTCGAGCATCGTGCTCAGGCAGGGCCAGGAGGCGGGCAGTGATCTCACACCAGCCCTGTTCCCGCAGGCCTGGCAGGAGGTGCACCTGGCGATACTGCTGCAGCTTCTCTGGGGACGTGTCCCGGGTCAGCTCAGCCTCCTCCTCGGCAAACATCTGCCGTGCACGCAGCCAGTCACCCGAGCGGGGGAAGGGAGAGAGAACACAGAGGGCGTCAGCTCCCAAGGAACATGGCTGGCCAAAGAGCCTGCATCCGCTTCCTTCAGCCCCATGGGGCTCACAGGCCGCACACAGGAGAAGGCAGCTGGGGCCTTGCACGCAAGTCAGTGCAGCAGCCATTTAACCGACTCCAGTTCCCTGACGTACCTCCGATCTCAGCACCATCCTGACCCCCCGAAGAGGTTAAGGGCCTGATCATAAGCCTCTGCAGCCTGTGCTCTGGGTGAGTCTCTGATAAACTTTGCTGGAAAGGCAAGGAGGGCAGGGACTTCAGACTGGCACAGCAGCAAGAAGGGCCGACACCACTCAGTACTGTCAGCGCCAGCGCCAGATCCCCACCGTGGAGGCACCAGAGGCTGCGGGTGCCCAACCGCAGGCACCGCTCCCTTCTCTGCCGAGGGGAGTCTCAGGCCAGGTCCCCATTCTGCCTGGGAGGCTTGAATGCTGCCTCCTTAACGCCAACAATGCCTAGGCTGCAACCATACTCACCTGCCCATAGCATCCCCGGACCTGACCCTAACTTTGCCAGTTCTTCACTCTTTCTGAGAAGCCACAAGAACAGAGAACTCTTGAAGCACAGGGGATGGCTGATGTCTATCCTCAAGCTCTTGAGCTCAAACTCCTCCACTGCCCTCCCTTCCTGAAGGAGGAAGGCTGACTACTAGCAGAAAGATGCCAGTGGCTCCCCAAAGCCTCAAAAGTGGCACCCAGAGCCAGCTGACCAGGGCAACCTTGGTGAACGTGCAACACTCCTGGTAACTCTCTGGCAGTGAGCAGCTGTCACAGTAGAGCCAGGGCTGAGGCAGCAGAGACACCCAGAAACCAGAGGGAGATCAGTTTCTACTGGGAAATGCCAAGCCAGGCTCGCTGCCCCTTTCCCAAGGAAGGGATTCTTAATTCAGCTGCCCGAGCCTTATTAATTGGACATGAGCAGCGCATATCTGCCTGCTGTTCTGAGAAACTAGCTTTCTGCAATGTGGAGAAGGTGGGAGGGGGGATAGACAGAGGGAGAGAGACAGAAGGTGGGGGTGAGCAGAGAGAAGGGTGAGGGAAGAGAGGAAGTAAGAGGGGACAGGTGGAGATGGAGATAGAATGAGACGGCTACTGCACACACACAAAAGCACACAGCTGACAGCAAAGTGACCACAGACAAGTATGACCCCCAACCCAAGGCCTGGGAGGGGCAGGGAAAAGGTGCTGCCCCTCTCAGCCTGCAGCAGCCCCCACAAACCCCTCCACCGGCAGGCAAGCATGCGGTGCTGCCCAGCTCTGCTCCACCAATCTGCAGTCAGCTGTTTGGGGAGCGTGTGGCCGAGGGAGGCAGTTGAGAGGCGCTGCCAATGCTCCACAGCAGCTGAATTAAGAATCCAGGCCTGGCTGGATTTACTCTCCTTAATTAAGACTTTTTAGGCTCACAAAGACTGAAGTGGAACCAGCACAAGCCTCCTCCCAGGTGGCGAGCAACTGGAGTCCCTGGGGCTCCTGAGGGCAGTCACTGAGCCCCTCTGCCCAGAGACAGTGCTCCCAAGGAAACATCCCCAGTTTCTAGAATCTTGATTCAGCATCATCCTGCTCTGGGTCTCTGGATCCGAGACATCTCCCAGGCACAGCTGCTCCATCCCACCTGCTCCTCAACACACCTTAAGCTTCTGCCAAATGACCTTTTACTCACAAAGGGCTGTCCTGGTTACTTCCACCCTCCCACCACACCACACCAACCCCACTGTGGGCACATTGCTCTCTCTGCTAGTCCTCAGGTTTCACCTTAGCTGCCACTTCTGACAGGATAAGTCCCTGATGGCTCAGAAACCCTGGGCTCAAGGCCCCACAGCATCACTGTCTGCCTAGCACAGGGCTGGCTCATGTGCTCTGGTGCTCAGGTATTTGAGATGGAAGGACGAGATCAGGGAGGGGAGGGCCCACACAGAGCTAGAGGCCACCACAAAGCAAAGTGAAGGCTAGGCCTGGGCACTCACCTTCTCAGTGACCAAGTCATACAGCAGGGTGACCACACGCACGGCCAGCACCTCTGTGCCCTTCTCCTGTGCCAGACTCCTTAGGACCTGCAGGCCCCCCAGCTTCAGAAATTGCTGCTGGGCATAGGGAAAGTGTCGCAGCAGGGAGCACAGTGCAAACAGGACCTGGTGAGGCACAGATTCAGACAGGTGACGATGAGGGGCTATACGAGGCTGGCCCTGACCCATGACCAAGGAAAGGCAGCCAGTGACATTCCAACTACTCCACACCCCTCAGGAGCACTATACGCAGAGCCCAAGTTTGGAGAGTCAGAGATGTCAGATGGCTCTGACATCAACCAGCGGGTAAATGGAGGCCCAGAGGAAGATGCACTGTTGGAGCTGAACCCAGACTTCCAGAGCTCTTGGCTTGCTGCCATGCTGGGACCATGTTGAGTGGGACCTCGCCCCCCTGTGCTACCCAGCGAAGATGATTCATGTCCCCAAGGTGAGATGCACAGCCTGGAAAGGCTCCCTCTCCTTTCAGTCTACCCTGTGGTGCTGGGGGCTGGGCAGGAAGAGCCAGCGGGACACACCTTCTTCTTTGCCGTGAGAGGCTGCTCCGTGGCCAGGATCACCAGCAGCTTCTGCAGAGCTCCCCCCTCGATGGCCTCCACCTGGACCTTAGGGTTGCTGTGGGGAGAAGCAAAAGAAAGTGTGTTTTTGTACCCACTACCAACTCAGATGCCTTCCCTTGTGCCCATCCTACGACTGGGTGGCCAGAGAGCCGACGCCACCCCAGCCATCTCTGAGACAAACAAAGCACAAAGGGAGGGCCCTCTCCAGACAAGCTAGAACACAGCTGGGAGCAGACACCAGTCTGTGCAGACACACCTAGTACAAGGGCCTATAGATACAGAGCTAAGGGCTCCCAGGTCTCCCACTCCCCAGCAGCAAAAGCTGGGGTGATCCAGAAGGGAAATAACCCCCACCATTTGAATATTCTTCCTATGCCGGAAGTGATAGTTGAAGTTCTCTCCTCCTCAGCCCCCAAGTCAGTCTTGTGTTCCTTCTTTCCCGACCCCAAATACATCACACACTGGAGGGCCGCTACTAATAGGCCGGTTAGCACATGCAGCTCAAGGCCAGGCACCGGGACCCAGCCCTCTACCTCCTCGGGAAGCAGATAGCCATGGGAACGCTAGAAGGATGAAGGCAGGGGAAGAACAAGATTCAAGGAGCCTCTGAATCCCTGAGATCCTAAAATAGCCCCAACACAGCTGCCACCCCGTCAACTCTTCACTCTGTTTGAACAGCTACTGTGATTTTTCTCCATCCCTATGTTCTCAGCACTCAGCACAAAGCCCGCCATGCCATAGGGTCCGGGTGACAGGAAATGAATGAACAAACACACGAAGAGCCAGTTTGTGCTAGCCAGCAGATAGGCCACAGTGCAACAGTCGCCCTTAGCTGCCCCAGCATCTCCCGCTCTGGGCAGGAGAGGGTGATGAGGTTCACTCACTGGATGCACAGTCCTCCTGGCTCCACCTTTTCATGGATGTAGGGCCTCAGGCAGGGAACATGGCTTCCTAAGATCAACCTAGTGATCAATTAAAGAGTGAGTGCCAAACCCAGGGATCTGTAATTAGGCCCTTGAGGGAAGTCAAGGTTCCCTCACTGGCTCACTTACACAGCCTCAGAGAAGAAAGGCAGCAGGAACAGGAAAAGCTGAAGGCAAGCAGCCAGCGGATGGGTGAGGCCAGAAGTCAGTGGCCTCACGATCAGCAGAGCCCACAAAGGTGACCGGGTCTCTGCCTGACTCCAGCTGTCTTATCACGGCCACTAGCTGGACCACGAAGGCCTTTTTCCTACTAACTTCCAGTCTTGGAAGGAGATCCACATGGCAGTCTAGAGAGTGAAGCAGAGTCTAGGGGAGTAATGACAAATCAGAGGCAGCTGGCTCATGGTGGGGGGAAACTTCGAGAAAGGGGGAGGCAAGCAATGAGAGCGCACACTGCTGCTGGCAGAGCGGCCAAGAACACCCAGAAAAGCTGGCTGCGGGAGTGATGGAATGATGGTCCACCCCTCTGCGCACCTTCAAGGTTCAGAGCAGGCTCACACATGCTGAGTTGGGGTTTCCTGCTGTAAAATGGGAGCTACTGGTCCCTGCATCCTCTCAGGCAGAGGGAAGCGCAGGTAGCGTGGCAGTCCCCTGCAGCCCCAGTGCCCCGCTGAGCAGTCAGTCTGGAGACAGGCTGGGTTGTGCTGGGGTCTCTGGGGAAGGAGGACCGACAGTTCCTCTCCAGACAGGGAGGTGGGTGTTGATGCAGGGGGCCTGGGAGCTCATTCTCTCCCCTGCCCCTGCCCGCTCCCCCACTCCCCAACTTGAGAAAGGCAGCTGCTTCATCAAAGCGTGAGCTAATTAGGGCTGTCTCTGCCATCATGTGCCTGAGGAACGTTCACCCGCGACAGGCAGGGTCTAAGAAAAGACGACCACGCTGGAAAATTCACACAAACATCAAATGCTGCCTCCCAAACAAGGGGGGCTGCGAGGCCCGACATCGCGTGGATCTCAGGGAAGCAACACCAAGGAACCCCGTCTGCAGGGTCCTGCAGAGAGTCAGACAAGTCCCACAAAGACAGCACTTGAGACTACCCTTGTCTACAGGGTTGCTGACCTAATCGCCCAGCACCCTGAAGGCAAGGCCGGACCCAGAACAGAGGGGCCATCCACCGTGACGGGCCTGAGCTGGCCAAGGAACCCCCCGGCCGGCACCTCCCAGACTCAGCCCTGTCAGCAATGCCAGTAATGGTGGGGAAGGAGGCAGACCCAAACCCCTAACGGAACCAGAGCACAAATAAGAAGCAAACTGCCAGGGTCAAAGAGAAGGGCACACACTGTGTAGGCAAATCCTGGGATCCCCAGAGAAAGAACCAGCTTATTGAGTGTAAGATGAAAAAGTCAGTAAGAGATACTGTTTCCCTGGTACTTCTCGCCCAAGAGAGCCCCAATGTGATTTAGAGACCGTCAGACAACACTCTGTTCTAAGAAGGATCTAGAAGCAAGCCACGGCCAGGAAGCTTCTCTAAAAGAAAAAAACACCTGCGTGCATGTCAGATCATCCTAGGAGAAGCTCAGTGGGTTCTCTGCCACTCAACACCTAACACAGCAGGATCCATACATGTGAGAGCATCTACACCACCTAATTCGACTTTCCAGTTTAAGAGAGAACCAGTGATGACTGTGTACCCTTTGGCCAGACCAGGTGGCTCGGACTAAGATCTGTGGGCTCAAAGAAAGGACAAGAGAGCGGGGAGAGGCTCGGCGCACAGGTGAGGGAGATGGCCTGTGGACAGGAGCGAGGCAGGTACTCGGACAGCATGAGCGAGTGCAGACAGGAAGAATACCGTCCTGCCCTGGAGAGTCACGGGAAGTGAGGCTGAGAGGAAAAGCTGACACCAGGGCAGGCGGAGTCGCAGGTCGCAGTGCCAAGGAGACAATGCAGGAACTACCCAGCACAGAAGCTGCTCCTGCTCCTTTCCTCAGACCACCCCCCCTACCCCCAAAGTAGCCTCATGGAGTGTCAGAAACAAGTCCCTGCAGGGCACACAAACACCAGAGAGGGCCAGGGAACGGGGCCGTGTCAGCACAATAACCCCGGGAATGGGCGAGGAGCACAAGGCATAACCCACCTTCCCCAGGCAGGTCAGTTCTGGCTACATGGTGTGTGCCTGTACCTGCCCGTGTCCTTCCCTGCCCTGATACTCCTTTCCTTCACTGGAAATGCTGCTGCCTCTCCTACCCCGTGTGGTTTGGCGCCCCCCCACCCCCAGTTCATAGGGGCTGGCTTATGGCTCATGGATGGCACACAGCCCCCCACCCCCACCAAAGCTTCAGTGGATCACCTGAGGCAGGGGCCCTCAGGTGAGTCTGGGCCCTTCCATCATCTGCACTGGTGTCAGGACATGGTAAAGTTAAGTTTCCCCACCAGGTAGACTGCTATAGCCAGGAGCACCTACAGCCACAACAGCAGCAGGAGAGACTCACCCCATCCTGTGAAGGGAGGCGGACACAAAAGAGGTCCAACAGGAAAGCTAGCGCAGAGAGAGAAAATAAAAGCCTGATGCCTTGTATAACTTGCAGAAGTCACTTTCACAAGGCAGCAACACCCACTCTGTGATCTGCATCGGGTAAGCAGAGCAGGACTGGGGGCCCAGCATGGCCCTGTGGCCGAGGGCAGCCTCAACAGCCTGGGCTCAGACCTGGCCGGCTTTTTTCCTGGCCAGTTTAATTGTGGACACTAACTCTGGGCCCTAGCCCAGGCTTTGGGGCTCTGTGAACACTTTGGGGATCCCATTATATTACCCTCTAAAATAAGCCTTGTAGGGATGCTCAGGCAGGGCCTAGAAACACAGTCACAGCCAGGGAAGAGCAGGCGACAAGATACGCATTCGCAAATAGCAATCAGGTATTTTAAAGCCATTTGCCCCAGAGAATTAAAAACCAACATGTTCTTAGAACATTTCTCTTCCTTAAGTAGCCTAGCCTTGAGCTCTAAATGTTCAAGGTTGTATGTTTCTAGGGAGGAAGTGCCTGAAACAGCTCAGAGTGAGGTCCAGAGGACCCAGAGGTGCAAGGGCCAAGGCTTAGGGAATACTTGGTGAGAATCCTGGGAATAATGACTGATGACCTCACTTCATTTCCTCACTTGTGAGGCACAACTGCAAAACCACCTCTGTTAAAAACAACGAACACTGCCACAATTAGCTTGCCAGTGCATCGGGATGGAGAGACTAAGATCATGGCCAGAGGTCAGAACAAGAGCTTGATTCAGCCCAGAGGTCTCACCCTCTCCTGCCTACAGATCTGGCCTAAGCCTAGGAGTAGGGGAGGGAGTAGGGGTGGGGGAAATCAGTCTTGGCAGGAAGGTGGGTGTCCTGGTGTCCTGACAGTGGAGAATTTGCAAGTTAACAGGGCGGTGGTCTGCAAGCAGCTCAGTGACCTCAAGGGCACTGGTGTACTCAAAGTCAACAGAAGGATATTAAGGACGTAGGCTAGACTCTGCCGAGATAAATGAGAATAAACCTTGTTCAGGGCTAAGCCGACTGGACTGAATAAATACCATTAGCACTTGGATTACTGAGATGTTCACAATCAGCAGGCAAGTCAGCTGTCTGTGTGCAGAGGAACAGCAGCAGCTGCTACTCTGTAAATCTTGTGGGATTGGGGGGTGGGGGGAGGCTTTTACAAAAATGGAAGTGATTGCATCTGCAGAAACCAAACCTTTTGGGTCAGGGTGACAGCAATATGGGCCATCTGCCAAGGGTCAGAGGTCATACCTTACTTAACCAGAGCCAAGGAAGCAGGGGGCTGGTGGGAGGTGGTGGCGCTGATTTCAGGGTGCCCACCCAGGTCCCTCCAGGTGCCTGTGAGAGTGCTGCCTTCAACCACCCGGGAGCTTCCCTGCTCCAGTCTGAGCATGCAGGACTAGCTATGAAATTTTTAAGACCCATTGCAAAGTTGAAATGAGGGGGTCTTTGTTCGAAAACTATTAGAAATTTCAAGACAGCACAGGCAGAACATGAAGCCAAGCACAGACCCTCTCAGAGAAGGGTGCTGTACAGGGTATGGGCAGCCGGTCACAAAGCTGCAGGACCAGAATATGTGCAAGAATCAGAAGACGGAAACTGAG